TGACTGTAATCCGATTATGATCACTGCTACTGTTTAACCATGAGTGCTCAGTCAGATAAACAAACAATGTCACACTCCGCGCGACGACACCGATCGTTAATCTCATCAGATTAAAAGCGACCGGCAATGGAAGCAGATATAGAGTCCATAATCCATAATTCAGGTGCTGCTCCGCGAGAACACGTCGGAGTACAACCCGACTCGCCCGGAGATCGACGAAAGGTGCATCACGCTCTTTCATACGAAACCGGAAGTAGCACCGTCACCCGCACCACCGGCTAGCACTCAACCACAAAACGTGCCAATAACGATAACGTTTAACGATATCCTTATCATTCAAAATATTTTGGGAATAAATTTTTTCCCCTAAAATACCGATAAACTGCCATTCACACAATATGTACGTTTTATACGATTTATAAATCTGTACGATTTGATGATTTATAAATTATACATTTCCAAAATACAATAAATATTTAATTAATATAAATAATAATTAATAAAGATATATAGAAAAACGTTAATCTTTTAAAGATATCAATATTATAAGATAGCAATATATGATTTTTTCGTTTACCAGGTATTTTTAGCGTTTCGTAAAAAAATATACAGTATGTTAGACGAATATACAGTAAAATATGACTAAATATAAAAGATACCTCATACTAATTACGCTTTTATATAACATATTATTAGAAATAAACAAAAGGATAGCATGTGTTCTTAATAAAGAGTAGCAATAATAAAACTTTTTAAAACATGTCTTATTAATACACGTGTGTAACTGAATTTTATGATACATTATTAACATAGTTTGAACATACGGTAGCAAAGATGTTGCAGTTAAAATCAAAATTGTACTAAAATAAGTAAATATATTATAATTTTCTATCTGCTTTTTGTACCATATTAAAAATTAATTGACATTACATACATAAAATCTAATCGTCAATGTTAAATATATTTATACAGCCTTATTACAATCTTAGTTTAATTAATTTTTTGTTAGAGGTGATCGAGGTCTATACAAATTGGCAAAGATATTATTTTATATATTAAGAAGTTTCTGAGATACTCTAATTTAATCCGACGCGCATACTGTCTGTTTACAAATAAAATTTTAACCAATTCTTTATATAATAATAAAATTTATTAAATAAAAATTGTTAGTCGTTGATATTTGCCGTTACATTTTAAAACAATAAATACACAGTAAAAAAATTTGTGTTAAATATAATATAAATCACATGTCTCAAACGGTCCACTCAAATTTTTGTGTTAATTTTACATAATGTGAATATGTCAAATTATGACAAATATTATATCCATAATTTAACACAAAATAAAGAAAAGTTTGATGATATGTGAACATTGTGAACGAAAATTTTATGTACAACAGATATCTGTATAATGTTAAGTATAAATGAAAAGGATATTTTTTTTAACAAAACTACATTATTTTTATGTTAACCTTACGATTAAATATAAAATGTGTTATTTTAACATTTGATTTACTTAAATATGAATTTAATACAAAAAATCAGTAAACATAATTAAAATTAGTTAAATTAACACATAAGTATGTTACATTTTTAACACAAAAACTTTAACAAGGTCCATTTTTAACAACAATACACAAAATTTTTCACTTTGCAGTAATCGTCAGAAATTTCAGAAAGACATTCGATAGGTGTATAGTTCTAATACAGTATCAGATTCCTGTGTAGTACTTAATCCACGATCGATAGGAAAATACTCTGGTGGATACGTCAGGGGCACCTGCGCCGCATGGGCCATAACTGTACGACATCAGACCAACTAATTCGTTGTTAGCAACGAGTGGACCACCGCCGTCGCCCTATCGAATAAATCCATTTAATATTAAATAAAAATATATGAAAGCTCTCTTAAAGAAAATCAAATAACATTAACAAATTTAGCATGAATAACAGACAGATGTGGTAATTAGTGCGCTATATAATTTATTATAATCTAGACCATTTAAATAAGATTAGTGTACGTCTCGTGTTGTTTCATTTAATATTGCTTGATACTTGCCAGGATTTTTTATTCACGCATAATTTGTCTGAACTCAAAAATTCTATAAGTCATATAGCAAATTCTTGTTGACAAAAGTGCGTGATATTAAAACTTTCTGCTTGAGTAAGAAGCAGAAAGTTGTAATAACGTTTATCAAAAGTGTCACTGTGTTCTCGGAAAAGATATTAAAACGACAAAAATTTCTATTATCACTCTCCTACGTCAAATCACAGCGATAAAGCGATACTTAGTTAATCAAGTAGATAGGAAATGTGCCAATATACGGTCGGGTTGGATTTTTTGTGTTTAATAATATTATTTACGTGAATTTATGTACATTTTTTTTGCTTGGCAAACTCTTATTGATCTGAAAACGCAATCTTAAGCTAAAGATAGAAGAAATGTAATCATATAATTAAATTGATAATCAATTTAATAATATCGATATTAATCTTTAGATTTAGAATATAGGATATATAGGATATGCAGTATACGAAATATATAAGATATGTTGCGAAAATTATCCTATTACTCCAGTCAGAGTTGAAATCTAATTCCTATTATCCAGGACGGAAGTCTTTATCAATTCGACCACTGAAGTATGTGGTGACATTTATCGCAATAATCTATAAATATTAAAGAGAACGTATTTAAGGCAAACGTGTAAAATCATATCGTTATATAATTGTTTTAAGACATAATAGTAACGGTGCGTAGTTTGCTATAAGCGAGAAAAATGTACATAAATTTACGTAAATAATATTATTAAGCACAAAAAATCCAGCTCGATATATATTGGCACATTTTCTATTTCCTTGATTGTTTATCGTATAATTGGTCATGGCTGACTTAATATTAATATTAATAAAGCGATAGTGATTGTGTTATCCTTTTGATAAACTTGTCTTTTTTTGTTTATGTTATAATAACGCGTACTAGATATCACGCGCCGTTTATTTTATTTTATGGTTACTTACGTAACACGCTCCTTGATTTTCCATTGTGAAGGTACATAGATGGGTCTCCTTGACGTGTTCATACCTGCTACATAACTCGTGGGAATATCCCCTCAATATAATCTCTTGCAAGCGATTAGGGCTTGGACCGTTCAACTAAAAAAATTGTTAATTTATTTAATATTTTATCTTATAAAATTTATGTCCGATTATTGTCATAATTTTTACAGAGCATTATTTTTGTATTTTATGTAGACTTCTTTAATCATTTTATTAGTATGTATCTCTATTGTTAATCGTAGAGACAATGTATGAAAAAAGCCTGATATATTTACCCAGAGTCGTCCCCAGCCAGTAGCTAAGACGGGATAACCATCGAAATTGCGATCTACAGTTGGCAAGGCAATCGGCTGAACTTTATCGTTAAACGTGATGGTGTTCAATGTTCGGATCAAACCAATGTCATTAATACGTAGCAATTTGTTGTAACCAGCGTGTACTATCAAATTTATCGCTCGATATATGACCATGTCATCAAGATAATTGCTTCCAACGGCGACATAAACTTTATAAGGATCCTTGAGGAATCTAACGGTTCATACAAATAATAATTTATTTGTAATTTGGTATAAAGTTCAATCTATGCGATATAAATGTTTAAGAATATAAGAACAATAATATTAATACAAACTTAATAAACCGCACATCTCAAAGTGCCAAAAATTATCGCTACTCAAATATTTTTTAAAGTATTAAATTGTGTGTGGACGAAATTGCATGGATTGGCAACGTTACGCTATGGGACAATTTTATCACTTGGACACAAATTATTTGAATAATGAAAACTTGTTATTTATAAGTTTCTTGAATTAAAGTGAACGTCTTTTGGTCACTACCTAGTCTTTAATTTTACGCAAAATTTTCTCATAGTTCTTTTTCTGATGACTTGAAAAGTATCGATCCCCTCTCTTCGGCTGTCATTGCTTGTACCACTTTAGATAACTGTCATACTGATAAGACTGAAACGTACGACCAGAGCGCGCAATCTGTCACAAACACGTTAAGCGTTGAAGATTTGTGACATTACCTGTCGATCTTGCCGTATTTATTGAGTTTTTAATCTATATAATTCCATCAAAATTTTTATTTTTTACGCGATTATATGTTTAAATAAGACACTCAATTAAAGCACTTGGACAGAACAAGAATTTAATGTACATACCCAACAATACATTGGGCAGAGGTGATAATGTAATGTTCACTAATGATAGCTCCACCACAAAAATGGTATTCATCATGTGCAGTCCTCAATGACACCTGATAAGGATACGCGTCATCCAGAGCATCATTGCCGCCGGTGATTTGCGGACCTGGCAAACCTATCGATCAGAAGAATTTTTATTTTGCTAAAGGTTTCTCGCTAAAGATTTCAGCTCAGAATTAGCTATGAACCGTTTATTTTCGTCCTACTTTGAAAAAGTAATGAACATCAAACGAGATTCGAACAGCAAATGTTTCTAGAAAATTTTTTAGCATTTTGGACTTGCCATTACTTAAAAGATAAACTTATCAAATAATCATCAAGATATCGATGCTTGCGCAAAATGATAAGTTAGAAAGAAGAATTTAAAAACTAAGATTGGTATAAAATTTTTTTTTGAGATTTACATATTATTTGGAACGTGTCACGCGCGCAATAAAAAGATTAATAAGCGTAATATTGTTATGGTAAATACACTACTTACCGTAGGCAGTGAGTGCCAGACACGCGATTATGAGACCAGCGACAGCATTCATAGTGATAAGCACTGTGGTACATTGGACATGTTATCTTCAATTTATATCCTACACTGCAGATTGAAATCACTGTTTGGTATTCAGGTTTATCTAAGCGTACCGATAGGAAGTATAAGAACAAACTAGTATACGCCAATTACTTATATTGATATCTATAAACGGACTGTATTAGTGACAAACACTTTGTTAACAGACATTTGATCATATAATTTTTATTAAATTTTGTAATAATATATAGCAATAATTGAAGCATAACTATTCATAAAAACACTTATGAATTTCCTCATACATCTTCCTATAAGAGAAAATTATTAATATATTCAATTGAATGGTATAGATATTGTGTTAGATTTCGCTCTTGTAGTAAAAAGATTTGTATTACTTTTGAAAAAGAGAACAAGCACGCTGCGTTTTTTTAAAGATGTTTCTTCATAAATTTCTTATATCATACCTTATACATAATTTTTTTTTGTAGAATTGCATATTTTAATTTATCGATTTTTATAATAAATTAGCGTTAACTATGCATGATGTTGAGTATAGCAATGAATATATTAGATTTGACTCGATTTGATAATAAGAACGTTACGATCAAAGTTGATACCTATATTATATTGAAATAAGAGCAAAAATATTTTGTTGCGTATCTATTAAAAACTAAATTATATAAGAAAAGCAACTTCTTGATTTTTAAAGTAACTCACTAATAACACATGTAGGTATACATTCTTAATATTAAAAAACTTTGTAATTTATTGAGGCTTTGATGCAATTCATTTCTTAAAAGAATCAATTTCAAAATTAATGAAAATATTATCTTATCTCTTGATAGCCTTTTTAGATTATTATATATACATTTTTAGCTGCTGAGCTATATAAAAATTCGCAATTATTAACATATATTCTATATTATAAGTATAGGCAAATTTTGTGTGTATGTATATAATATATGTATATATATAAAAGATTTGTCTGTAATATTTATAAAAAATTGTTGAATAACTGTCGCTTGCAAAACTACAACTAATTAAAATAATGATAATTAATTTCTTGAGTACGATTGAAACGGTTGTTTTATCAGTCTTTTTTGAAAAGATATTTGTAATTCACGATTATCACTTGTTTGTAAAATAACATCACTTTATCTATCAATATAAAAGTTTAGATTAATTATCTCCAATTGCAATTTATGATAACGTTAACAAAGAAATTTTTTTAAATAAAGAAATAATTGCAATACATTTCGCAGTATAATTCTAATATTTGTTAAAATATCCAGTAAAGTCGTACGTAATTTATAATATATTAAATTATGTGATATTAAATTAATAATATATAAAATAAATTATAATCAATATCGCGATTTGGTCCTGAGAGTAACAACGCGGTTATTAATGCGTACAAATATACCAGAAACTCTGATTTATTTTTATTTTTTGAATTACAAAGACGTTCCGTACGTTTCGGCTCCGCATTGAGCAATTCTCATTGTCAGTAGTATACCAATAAAATTAATAATTGCTCACGTTTTCCTTTTTACAAAGTATATAATTATTTTATTTTATTATTCAGTATTAATGTACTCAGCGAGCCAATCCGTGAACGAAGATGTCCGTGTATACACGTCCGGATATCCGACTGCGCATGGTCGAACAAACGAGGCAAGGCCGATTTGAATACCATTAGCAACGAGCGGAGAACCGGAATCACCCTAAGAAAGACATTTATTAGAAATGACGCCGCAGCGTTTGATGCCAGAATAGAATAATTTCTAATCTATATGCTTTTAGAATATAATAGAATTTATAATAAAAGACACACATGCACACACAGAATTTGCATAAGATAGGTACAATTTAAACTTTTAGAAAGGTATATGGAACAAAGTAGATTAATTGAATTTTCATTGGCTCATTAAATTTGACAAGCCTGCACAATTAGTCATTTTTAATGACAGCAGTGTCTATCAAATTAAAATTAATTAGTTAATTATATATACAATCATAATTAAATTATAATATCAAATTATAATTATGTTATATATACTAATAATTTATTATAATACTATATATATATTTTATTAGTTAAGATTATTTATTCATACTCACATGGCATGCTCCTTGGCCATATTGTGAAAATGCGCAGATGTGACTGTCCCTCACATTCAAGAATGCAACTTTGCACTTTAATTGCGAGTAAACTTGCAGGTTGAGTTTTTGAAGTTTATCAGGTATTTTGCCTAAGTACTGTAAAAATAATCGAAGAACTATAAGTCACGCGTGAAAAAAAATGGAGAGATATATTTCAATATATATATATGTATATATATCACATTTAGTGACATAAGGATTCGACTGAAAGCAACATTTCACGTAATAGTCATATATTATTCTACAAATGCGAAGGAGAAGTTTAGATTATTTATTAAGATAATGCGCTTCTTTAACACGCCATTTCTTTTACCTCGAGTCTTCCCCATCCTGTCAGAAAGCAAGGATCGCCAACTAGGACTGAATTCGTTTTTGCAACCGAGATTGGTTGCACTAATTTATTATATTCTATGTCCGTTTTAAGGCGGAGCAAGCCAATATCATTGCGGATTAAAAGCAGATTAAAGTCAGGATGGATAATAGCTGCTTCAGGCTTGTAAACATCACCGGATTCACTCAATAGGTTTGTGCCAGCGTGAACTGTTACGTCTTTGAGATCATCGGGATCGGTAAATCTATGTTACGCGCAAAAGATTTAAATTACAAGATTTATACATTATACAAATTAATATTGTGCAGTTAGGTACTGCTTGAATTAAATTCAATAAATTAAAAAAAATTAATAGAAAATAAGGAAAGTAAATGTATTTGGGGCATGACAGATTTAAGTATTTATGTGTCTAAAAGTTTTTCAAAGAAAATTGAAAAGTTTAAAGATCCAAATAATTAAACATCGGCGGAGTCAAGTATTGAGAGTTCGGGTATTGATTTTAAAACATAAGATTTTAAAACATTATCTTACATTTTACATAAATAATAATACGTACCGCGTAAGACAGTGAGCCGCTGTAAGAATGTAACGTTTAGCGATAATAGAACCGCCACAGAAAAGACTGTTTTTCAGTCTCAGAGACACCATGTAAGGATGCGCTCCGACTAAAGCATCAGTCCCACCGACAATGTGAGGATCCAAGGCTGAAAAGATTTTTAACCGCATTGTTAATTTAATGCACAATTTTTGCGACAAACTTTTACTTAAATATTTTTCTTGAGATTATATGTATATATCATATACATCTATTCTCAAAAATTTGCAAGTCAAAACGAAATCTAGGATATCATTTATTTCTTTTAACATGAGATTAAGTAAAAAGTCCAAAGTCTTTGGAAAACATATACTTCGAAAAAGAATTAAATTATTTCTCATCTCAATATAATTTTAAATTTTAAATAAAATAATAAGATAAGAATATAAATTATTGTTATTGATTACTTTTATATTATCGTTGATTTTTTTATTTATGTGACAGAATTGTAGAAAATTATAAAAATGCAATAAATTTAGAGACTTAGTAAAACTATAAATTTAGAAAAAAGAATAATCGGATAAATTGTATAAAATAATCGGAAAAATTAAAAAAAAAATGCTATTATACTTTGCGGGCTTTGCACTTGCGGAAAAAATAATATAGATAGAAAATTAAATATGATTTGCTGCATTTTATTTCCTATACTTGATTGTATAAATTTTTACAAATGTGTAAAATATGTGTTTATACAATTTTTACAAATATTATTTTAATTTTAATGAAGTAATATAGACTCATTTATAGACTCTCATTTATAGACAAATTAATAAACGGCGATACGAGTCAGGCGCGGTACGTGCGCCTACGTGCTTGCTTTGCAAGCAAGCGCAAGTAAAGAAATTAATAGTTACAGAAGTAACGAATTACAATATATATAATATACAATATATTCCAACTTAATAAACTGCGTGCCGATTATTTGTCGGATTTGAAACACAGCTATTGTTGGAACATTAATATCCTTTCCTCTTCGGAATTAAATCAACCCGATTTAATTATTTAAAAAACTGTAAAGATTTTATTGAGAAATATATTACCTCAGCCAGGATTCGAACCTGGAACCTCCCTCATTCCGTGAAGGGCGTCGTGCGTCGTACCAATTCGACTACCGAGGCAATATTTACCGCAATAACCGGTTAATTGGTACGACGCCCAAGATATATATATATATGTGTGTATAAACCTCAATATAAATGTAGCTTTTTTATTCATAGAGTTATATAGAAATATTCACATCAATTACGTCATGATTTGCATCACTATAAATGAAATCAAGAATTATTTTTTCGTGTTCTTATTCCGAATACACCAAAAATAAACCGGCTTCATCGCTGATTAATATATTACGCGTAAAAATGTGTTACTTCGTATTTTTTGTCACTTACCATGACTAACCGCCGTTAAATAAGCGATCAAGAAACCAAAAAATGCTTGCATTGTGAGAAATTAGATACTACTGAAGAGAAAAAGCTGCTTCATATATATATATGTGTGTATGTATGTATGCAATATTACATGCATGTGATACGTAAAAGTCAGATTTCAAAGAGTAGATAATTTCGATTAGATAACAATTTTGAGAGCGCATAAATATCACTTTAATCAGATTGGAATCTTATTTGTATATTGTATAATATAACTGACGGCGTAAAATTCTTCTTTAAATACTTAACTTTATGCATTATGTCAACTTTTCAATTTACTAAAAAATGTATATAATCATTTATTTCTATTCTCTTCTCGCTTTATTTTATTTTTGCTCTTCATTTCGGAGATACTCATTTTAATGTATGTAATAAAAATTCTTTATATTTAAATTTTTTTTTTCTATTTTTTTCCTTAATTTTCGAAGAAAGATTAAGGAAAAAAATAGAAAAAAGGAAGATTTTATCGGAAACGCAATCATGATTTAGAAGAGGACGAGGGATACGGACGAGATGAGGGAAAAATGCTGAAAAGCATTACAAGATTTTTTAACAGAAAAAATTTGACTTTAAGCGTGAAAAAGTCAAAGATGATGACTTTTTAAAGGAAAAAAGAAGAGAGAAAAGAAGTAATAGCTTTGTAATGAGGAACGGAGATAGAAGCAAATAGAGATAACTATATGCGCTCTCATTTTGACAGAAGGAACGATGTGAAAAGATAAGATATCTCCCTGAGAAAGTTAGTTTGTAGGACCAATTGATAATTTTCTATAATTTCATCAATAATTTTTTAATTAATGCTAAGAAAATATTAGAGACTATTCTGTAGTTTTTAAACACAGATTAAACGGCCTGAATTTTTTTAATTGGGATAACGTTAAAATCCTAAATACAGAGAATTTATTACATACATTAAAATGAGTATCTCCGAAATGTTTTACATTAAAAGACAAAGGAATGGCACCAACCTTCAAAAGGACACATTAGTAATGATTATTCTTCTATTATCGAGAGACTTCCGCATGTACACAACTGCCATCTGTTTTTTTTTTATTGACTTGTTTTTATTTATTGACTAGCTTTATTTCTTTTACATACGATAATTTCTCAATAATTTGTTATTTTATTTTTATATCCTTTTTTTTATTATAGATACAATTACTTCTTTTTTCTAACTTCTCGGAAAACATTCCCCCTGTAGTGAATGATTTCTAATAAATTAAATTTTGGGTGCCTTATATGTACATACAGTAAAATGCACGTCACAGTAGTAGCCTGACTGACCGACCGTTGAGTCGTTAATGATTAATACGGGCGCGTTTCATCGAAATAATAAAATGTACAAAGAGAAGCATAAGAATTAACTAGATCTTTTATTTTATTTTATCTTACACTTTTTTTATTAGTTAGATTAATTACACAGGCTTACAAAGTTTATTTTTTCTTGCTAATAAGGAATCAATGTAAGGAGGAATCAATGCAATATACACATATTATATAAATTGAACATTAATTTATTTTTATTTATTTATTGACTGTTAGTGATTTATATATTTTTTTCCTATATATTGCTGATTTCTTATTTAAAAAATTCGAAATAATTTTAAGATCTGACGTGATGAAGCAATTTGGAATGCGGTATTGTTTTTTGTGACCAAAGATATATACGAAACATCTACTCTAAAGTTACTTGACAAAAAATTTTTTTTTTGGCCTGTGTAATTAATTTAACTAACAAGAAAGTGCAAAATAAAATTAAAAGAGAAATCTAATTAACTCTTATGCTTTTCTTAATACATTTTAATATTTCGATGAACCGCGCCCGTGTTAATCATTATCGATCCAGCGGTCGGTAAGTCCAGGCTACTGTGACCCAACGAATTAATGTACCTTACTATACAGTGTAACTATTTTTTATTTCTTATTTTTATTTCGTCTTCTCTTTCTGTCTTTTTCTTTTTTAACCTTCTTATCTGATGGTTTTCCATCTCCGCTGATATAATATCTTTTTCCGCTGATTTTATTATTTTTTTAGAATTTTTTCATCCTTTCTTATGCTTTTCTGAGTATTTTCCTTAATTCTCTTTTTCTGTCCAGGCATTTTTCTATTCCACCATTTCTTTTTCTCCCATTCTCCTTTTTTTATAATTATCTCATTCTTCTGAGTTGCTCTTGTCGCTTCCTTTTATTCAATCCAAGACGGTTCTAATTCTGTCTTTTCAAATTTTGTGTTCTCCAACAGCTCTCTGAATTTTTTTTATATCTTTTTTCGCCCATACTTGTTGCCAACAAACGCTACTCTGAAAGCTGTCTTTATAACACAGAAATAGAATAATTATTTCTTATTATTGTATCAAATAAGGAATATAATTTTGAAACAAGAACTTTCATATTTTACTAAACTTTAAAATTTGATAAATAATAGATAAAGATGAAGCCTCTTTTATTGTATAAAATAATTATTGTTTGGTGTTTATCGAGGTTTTTCTCCATTCGGATATAAGGTGCAGGCAGAACCAGCGGGAACACCGTCGGTAGTTGCAAGTGATATGGGAGGGGGGGCGTATGTATTATACATATTTAGTGAATTCGATAAAAATTGACAGAATAAGTATGTTTAATTGAAAAAAATCGAAATTACGGTGAAAGTGGCTAGTTTTTACTCTGTAAACGGTGTCAGTCTCAGATTTGGATCAGAATGAATAGTTAAACCTCTCAGAGCGCCAGGTTTTTTTTCGTAGCTGTTAAAGAGACATATAAAGTATTGGTCGATTACTTTTCGCTATTCAGATAATTTTAATCCTAGCTGGCTACACTCTGATTCAGTGTGGACCGCTGAACGTTTTTCGGTTTTCTAATTTTTACATAATTTTTTAGTTTTCTTATAATAAGTTCAGTTTAAATTCAAATCATTTTCTTATCCTGATATTATCATAAACCTCTTATTCAGAGTCTGTATTTCCAATTTCTACAGTACAAACTTAAAATTATTAATTATAATGAAAATGACAGTGCGACGAAGTCGAGCAATCTCACGTACCGGAGTGTGGCGAATTAAGGACTCGAAACTAAGTGCTAGCTAGGGTTAAACATCTTTCTTTCGGCATGACAAAAAGAATTTTATTTTATTTATATGCTAGTGTATAAATAACATAAAACAAGATCGAAGTACGTATACTTAATTATACATTGAGCGGCAGTAAGAATGGTATACTGATTGATGGTGAATCCGCTGTAGAAGTGACTTCCAGATTTCTTCGGAGATTCTTAATATTGGAAATTGTGGAACTTGATGATCAGGGCATCCTTTCTACTAATAATATGAGTGACTAGGTAGCATATAAGAAAATACAAAAAAAAAACAAAAAAAAAAAACAGAAGCTGCAAATCAGATTTGTGACACGAATTTTAGTTTCTTAGCCTTTAGTGACATAAATTGCAACATTATAATAGTCTGTCATATTAAGAAAATTGTTACTTTATTGATAAATATATAGTATACAATACTACATTTTTTAATGTTAAAGTTTGAGAAACGTGCAGAATTTATTTTTGTATTGAATTATTATAAAAAATGTGACACATAATATTTAAAATATTATATAATGATTATTATCTTAAAATAATCTAGTTCTATGCTTTCCTACACAGTTCTATATTCTTTTCGACATGCACAGATTCTGAATTATAATATAATTTTGAGAGCTAGCGTATAAATATCACTTTAATTAAAGATATATTATAGTCCAAAATCTTATTTGCATAATGCAACTGACCGTGTAGTTTATCTGTAAATATTTAATTTTCAGCATTATGTTTACTCCAAAGCTATTACTAAAAGATTTATATAATTATCTTTTTCCAAATCTACATATTTTCTCTTTATATTTTATTTTATCTTTTTTCTCACCGGATCTCTTTTCATTTATATTTCAAAGGATTTTTCATTGCTACATTTGTCAAATGCATTTATAACAATATCACGTAAACTTATGAATTTTGCGCTAACTAATTAATATGATATTGTTTATCGTAAGATAACAAACAAGAATACCTATTAGCTTTTACATAGAAAAAAATCAAACCAATTGATTTGGTTATCATTTTGTTACTTGCATTTATTTAACTGATGGAAAAAGCAACAGGAAATACTTATAACAGGAAGTAATATAATCTTGCAGAAATAATTTGCTCAAAATACATATATTAGTAATTAAATTATAAATTATGTAAAACAAAGTGGTATGTTAATAAATTAAATGATATTTTTTAATTCCTTAAATGTCCATTGATCCATGTTATGTAACTTGATATTCTTGTGTAAACGTCTGGATATCCCATTGCGCAGGGAAGAAAGTAAGAGACAATTCCAATTTGAACTCCATTGGCTACTAAAGGGCTACCAGTATCACCCTGAAATAAAGATGCAATTATTAATAACAAAATGTTAATATTATAAATAACAATAAATTGTTTACTATTGCAAATTGTTGCTATAATAATTTCAGTATTAAGCTATGATTAAAATCGGCATATTATTAGATGCTATTAATGTAATTTTTTATGTTATTAATATTCTTTCGGTGTAGTAAAACATAAGTATATGTATCAATTCGTTTTATAATATTAATAATTGACAGTTTACGTCGCACGCTCCTTCTCCTTCACTTGTCAAAGTACAAAGTTGAGTATTTTTTACAGCCCATATTAGTCTTTGGCACTTTTCCTGGGGATAAACTCTCAACTCAATTTCTTGCAAGTTATTCGAAATCTCTCCATCATTCTAAAAAGCATAAATACGTATTTGGACATTCGAAAGAAGTGACGAACAATAAATAATTATTACATATCTTCTCACTTGTTACTTTCAATTTGTTATATTATACATATATAAAAAGAAAATAATGAGTTTTTCTAAAAGAGTCCCTTATTATTAGACATCGAACTATAAAACTCCGATATCACGAGTTTGATATTACCTTTTTTCCCCATCCGGATAACGTGCACGACTTGCCGTCGAGATTCTCATCGCTTGTCATAAGATTTATCGGTTGCACTAGCGTGCTGTATTTCAAAGGAGTTTTAAGATGAACTAAGGCGATGTCATTACCGGTTAAATGATTAACGTGGATGCTAACACTGGCTACGTCATAAGCAGCTCCTGTTATATTCAAAAAGTTTGTGCCAACATGGACCTTTAGATTATTTACCCGATTTTCCAACCTAACAATAAAAAAAGAACATATAAGTATGTATATACTTAGTCTTACATATTATGCATATTTGATATATTAAAAGACTAGTTTTAGAGTTATATTTCACTAACGAGATATTGAAATAGGTTCAGAATGCCTAAATGTAACATACCCTGCGACACAACTTGCTGCGGTTAATATGTTATAATTATTGAGGATGGATCCACCGCATTTATGCACGCGGTAATATCTCAATGAAACTTGATACGGAAATTTGCCGATGGGAGCATCCTTTCCACCGATGATATAAGGTGATGGAGCTCCTTATGGACAAAAATTAATTAATCATGTTAATATACGCCGAAATTAATATTTGTTACATTACTACATACACTTTTAACAATAACAATAAAACATTGTGTCAGTTTTACGGCTAAGTGAGCCGTAATATGCTCAGGAAAGTTACAGATTTATTTAGAATAAATATTTTTTATTGAACAAAAATTTTATCGTTCACGCCATATTAATTTTTAACGTTAAAGTTACACATTATTTAGAGAATACAGAGATACGTATGTATTGTTGTATATCCGTTTACATAATTAATTAATTGAAGACTGAAGTTATTGATATTTGAAATTTAAGATGTAAGAAGTACTATTTTTTTATATAATTAATTATTTTTAGAAGTATTATATATGTATGTTTATATCTATATATATTAGATATACGTACAGAAATGTTTACACAAACTATAAATGCTATAAAACGGATATTTATGCTATTACTGATAATTTTGCTTATGTAAAGAAAGTAATTATTTTATACTATTTATATGTATTATTAGAAAGACACGTAGTTGTACCTCTCTCTATATCTATCTCTATATCTGTTTTTTTATTATGGTAAAATATTTATTATAATAATTTATGAATTCGTACCTTGAATGGCGTATGCCAGAGCGATAAATACGAGACAAGCTAACGCACGCATCTTTGCAGATTTAATGTCTGGGACTGTAGCGAATAGATGTGATACGCAATAATTTATATATATTTCTGAAGTAGTTAAAATAAAAATCTTTATCATGTGTTTGTGATACTTTTCTGAATTTTTCTCAACGCGATATCGTGCTACAGAATATTGATATTTACAGTTTACATTATGCATTTCTTAGAAAAATTGGAATTTCCGTTGGTTTATCTGGTGATAGTATCATGGTCAACTTGCTCTTATCGCTTATTATATCTGATATTCGAGTCTACGATATAATCGATAGATTGCGTGTCACATGCTTAGAAAGTCAACGTGAATCTTGTAATATAAGGAGATACAAATCTGTCTGCCCATAAATAAATGAGATAAATTGGTTTTCTCTCAAATATAACACAGGATATATTTGCAATGTATTGCCGCGCACATAACTAAACTGCAGACTTTTAATATTATTTAAAAAAATTTATTAGAAACATTTTTCTAATCAGCAGCTCATATCGATCAATTAAAAGCTATTTGCAATTATAAATGGAACTTTATGCGGATATTTATTATATTATTTATTTACTAAGGCTATGAGAAAGTAAAATAAATTGTTTTCCGAAAATCGGAAGAGAACCCCGAAAACGGTCTTATTGACCTTTGTTCTTTATCTGTAAATATTTAACTTTATGCATTATATACATTCTGCAACTGATTAAAATTTATATAATCTTCTTCTCTTATTCCCTTTTTGGTAATTATGCAGAGATATGGAGCCATTCCCGATTTCAATAATTTTGAGATATGTTATCATCACCCTAAGTAACCGTCAAAGGGTTTAGGCGACCATTGTTTGTTAAAAAGTCATTAACAAAAAAAGTTTAAGAAATATAACAGTTTGTGTCAGTGCTAAGGGAAGTGTATAGACAATGCACATGTAAGTGGATTGTACGGTTCGAGTTTTTAACTTTCCACACGAACCGAGGTCCACCTCTGCTTGCAGGAGGGAGGAGACGGTAGCCCCTCTCCACTACTTTTTTAAGAAAAACAATGCTAATAGATATCTCCAAAGAAAAAGGTTATATGAGAAGCTGTACTGTCTGTTTTAATTTCAACTCAGTATTATTTGTTTCTAATTATTTTCCATGGAAGTATTTTATTTAAAGATTTTACAGAGTAAACATGCTATGCGCTACTGTTCTGTTGTGAAGAAAGAATAAGTTTTCATTGTTTAAGTATAATCATTGTTATTTTCATATTTATTAGCACCACTGTTTTGTTTTTCTTAAAAAAGTAGTGCCTCCAAACTTTTGAACAGTAGTGTGTGTGTTATCAGAAAGACGCAGTTGTCTCTCTCTCTCTCTCTCTCTCTCTCTCTCTCTTTCTCTCTCTCTCTCTCTCTATATATATATATATATATATATCTGTATTTCACTGTGTTTGTTTATTAAAATATTTAGAATAATTTATGAATTCGTACCTTGAATGGCGTATGCCAAAGCGATAAATACAAGACAAGCTAACACACGCATGTTTAATTGCAGATTTGTTGCCTGGGGCTGAAGCGAATAGATGCATTTATATAGGTTTCTGAAGTAGTTGAAATGAAGATATAAATCACGTGTTGTGACGCTTTTCTGATTTTTTTTCAACGCGGTATCATACGATAAAGTAATTGTTATTTATAATTTACAATATGCACTTATACATATATTGATAAAAATGATAGTTTTAAATATATTTGCACTGTTATAACTTTTCTTAGAACAATTGGGATTTCCGTTCGTTTATCTAGTGATGGTCTCATGGTCAATTTACTCTTATCGATCTGACATTAGAATCTGTGATATATCATCAATAGATTGCGTGTCACATGCTTAGAAGTCAACGTGAATCTTACAAAGAGAATCTTGTAAAGAGCTACAAAACCGTCTGGCCGGAATCGAATAGATTTATAGATAACAAGATAACAAATAAGAAAAGAAATTTTATTTGTGAATACATAAGAAATACATCTTTAATAGAATCTCGAATAGAAGTTATTTTCATGTTAAGAGAATAAATATTGTATTTAATGGGTATTGTACTAAACATTTTGACTGCCATGTCATCCATGTTTGGATGTTGCATGAATTTTTGAAATGGTCCTGTATAAACTTCTGTAAATATACATAATTTAATATATAAACATACATATACTTCTGGAAGTAGTTAATTATATATTATATAATATTTCTTACACGAATGTCACACACCATTAACTTTAATCGCAAATTAATTAATAATGTAAATGGATTTAGAAAAACACTTACATCCTCTAATATATTTTAACGTAAGAAAGTAATATAACTTAAATGATGAAATTTTTATAAATTAAAAGATTTCTATTTTAAATAAATCTGTAACTTTCCTGGACCAATTTGTGAGTAACGGTTTTATTTATTTAAACAGGCATGATTTTACTAAGTATTTATAAAGATATAAAGAGAAACAGTAAAATATTATTGAAACATATAATATACTAGGTTTAGTGATTACTAGAATGAGACTAAAAATGAGATTTCAAATATCAGATAATATCGATTATGCAATAATATTTAGAGTGAATAAGTATCATTTTAATCAGAGATATAGTTCGGAATTTTATTATACAATTGACAGTGAAATTTATTTGTAAATATTTAACTTTATGCATTATGTCCATTCTAAAACTGACTAAAGTTTATAATATCTTCTATATTATTCCCTTTTCTATCGAACTTTTTTTTATTTATATTTTGAAGGATTTTCTCTTACTAAGTTCGTCAAATGCATTAATAATATATCACGTAGATTTCTGAATTTTACGATAATGTAAATAATATAATATAATTTTATCACAGATGAGAACAGCAAACGAAAACATTAGTTTCTACGTAAAATAATAAAAACAATTAATTTGTTATTATTTTGTTATTTGCATTGGTATATTTAACTGATAAAAAAGCAATACAGGAATTACATTTTGCAGAAATAATTTTGTTCAAATCACATTAGTAATTAAATTATAAATGTTGTAAGATATAATTTCGTTCTAATAAACATATTATACATCTTCTAATTTTTTAAATTTGCATTGATCCATGATACGAAACTGGATACTCTTGTGTAAACATCTGGATATCCAAGAGCGCAGGGATTACCGAAGGAGACGATTCCAATTTGAACTCCATTAGCTACTAAAGGTCCACCAGAATCACCCTAAAATAAAGATGCAATTATTAATAATAAAACATTAATATTATAAATAAAAATAAATTATTTATTATTGCAAATTATTGCTGTAATTATTTCAGTGTTAAGATATAATTGTAACATATAATTGACACATATTTTTATTGCCTTCAATATCTATAACTTTTTATATTATTAATGTTCTTTTAGTACTGTATAAATAACGTATATATTAATTTGTTTTATTATATTAATAAATAAAAGCTTACGTGGCACGCGCCTTCTCCTGATTTAGTCAAAGTGCAGATATGGGTATTTTTTACTCTTTGTTGTACTCTCGCGCATTCTTTCTGCGGATAAACTACCAACTCAATTTCTTGCAAGTTATTCGGTGTATTTCCACCAACCTAGAAAGAATAAATGCGAATTTAGATAAATGAGACTCGCAGTAAATGACAAACAATAAATGATTATTACCGAATCTTCTCACTCTTGTTACACATTTCTAACTTGTTACATATCATATAAAGAGAAAAAACATTTTGTTTTAAAAAGAATGTCTCATTCTTAGATATGTGTAACTAGAAAATTCTGTATCATAAGTTCGATATTACCCTTGTAGTTCCCCATCCGGATAACGTGCACGGCTTGCCTTCGACATTACTATCGTTTGTTGAAAGCTTTATCGGTTGCACTAGCGTATTGTATTTGATAGGAGTTTTAAGGTGGATTAAACCGACATCATTAATGAGCAAATAATCATCGTAGTCTTTGTTGACACTAACACTCGCTACGTCATATACAGCGCCTGATACGTTCAAGAAGTTTGTGCCGGCATGAACCTTTAGAAGATTCACTTGATTTTCCAATCTAACGATAAAAAAACCATATAAGTATATGTATATAAGTATATGTATATATAAGTATATGTATATATATATATATATATATATATATATATATATATATATATATATATTATATATATATATATATATATTATACTTAGTCTTACATATTATGTCCATTTGATGTATTCAAAGACTAATTTTAGAGTTATATTTTACTAATAAGATATTGACATATGTTTAGAATGTGTAACATACCCTGCGACACAATGTGCTGCGGTTAATATGTTATAATTATCGAGGATAGATCCACCGCATCTATGTGAGCCGCCATATTTCAATGAAATTTGATACGGAAACTTGCCAATGGGAGCATCTTTACCGCCGACGATACGAGGAGATGGAGCTCCTTATTAACAAAAATATATTAATTATATTATTACACGCGCAAAATAATATATCTGTTACATTACTACATACACTTTCAACCATAACAGTAAAACATTGTGTCAACTTTATAATGTTTACAATAATTAATAAATTCTTACCTTGAGTGGCGAATGCCAGAGCAATAAATACAAGACAAGCTAACGCACGCATGTTTAATTGCAGATTTGTTGCCTGGGGCTGAATAGATGGGAGCGAATAGATGCATTTATATACGTTTCTGAAGTAGTTGAAATAAAGATATAAATCACGTGTTGTGACGCTTTCTGAATTTTTTTCAACGCGGTATCATACGATAAAGTAATTGTTATTTATAGTTTACATTATGCACTTACATAGATTGATAAAAATGATAGTTTTAATTAAATTTGCACTGTTATAACTTTTCTCAGAACAATTGGGATTTCCGTTCGTTTATCTAGTGATGGTCTCATGGTCAATTTACTCTTATCGATCACGATATCTGACATTAGAATCTGTGATATATCATCAATAGATTGCGTGTCACATGCTTAGAAGTCAACGTGAATCTTACAAAGAGAATCTTGTAAAAAGCTACAAATGCGTATGGCCGAGAGAATCGAGTAGATTTACAAGTAACAAATAAGAAAAGAAATTTTATTTGTGAATAAGAAATAAATTTTTCACAAAATTTCGGATAAAAGTTATTTGAATATTAAGAGAATAAATGTCGTATTTAATGGGTATTGTATTAAACACTTTTACTGCCATCTTATTTGAGTGTCTTGAATTTCCGCAAGGGTCTCGTAAACTTCCGAAAATATTGCTTTACTTAATTTAATGTATAATCATACAAACTGGACTAATTAATTATATATTAATTACATATAAAATATGAAACATAGTATTTCTTCCATAAATGATAATGCATCAATAACTTTGGTTGCGAATTAATGAATTATGTACCTAAACGGATTTAGAAGAAAACATACATCTCCGCACATTCTCTAATAAATACGTGTATTTTAACGTTAGAAATTGATGTGACGTGAACGATAAAACTTTTGCTAAACAAGAGATTTTTATTGTAAATAAATCTTTGACTTTTCCTAACTATTTTATGGATCACAATTATTTTATTTATTTAAATAGGAATGATTGTACTAACTATATTTATAAAAATAAAAAGAGGAACAATAAAATATTATCAAAACATAATATGTTAGATTTGTTTAAAAACAGATATTCAATTTTTATTTTTCTGTTTACATATAATTATCTCAATTGCAAAAAGAGCTCTATTATTTCGGTTTGTGACTGAGAGTCTTTATTTTATTCAATTTTGACTTATGTTATTAGATATATATATTCAATAATAGAAATAATGTATTACGTATTTTATTTATAACGTTATAATATACCTTAATATGTAAAAAGTATTTTAATTTTTTTGTTATTTATTTTATTATTTAACTCTAGATATTTTATAAACAGTCGCGCACTTCTCAATATACGGTCTCTCAGAGTTCACGTCAAAATCAGTTTGACAGTAAAAGTATTAAATCAGATTTTATTTAATTAATGTTTTATATTCAAATAATTACAGCATTTAAACCATCACATTTATGTTTAGACTAATACAAGAAGCGCAGATAAAAATTATTTACACAATCAGTCATTATCAAATAATTATATCAAGTCGTTTTTCGCATACACAATTGCAGTTATTATTTATTATATATTAACCTTGTTAAACATTTCATAACAAAACGTGTTGAATATACATGGGATAAACGTATATATAAAAGAATATTAATATATTTAAATAATAACGTGTGTGTATATAAGATATATTTTGTTTTATCCTTTTATTCAACACTGTTTCTTCGGATCCAAGTAGTGAAAGAGGATACTCTAGTGAATACGTCGGGAGATCCACGAGCGCATGGTA